CACACACACACACACACACACACACACACACACACACACACACACACACACATACATACATACATACATACATACATACATACATACATACTTTCTTCACGAAATTTTTTATGGTCATCCTGTCTTCTTATAATTATAATTATTAACTGTTTGTTCGTTCGTTCGTTCGTTCGTTCGTTCATATGTATGTATGTATGTATTACTATCAGGCAAATTTATAACGCACAAGTTTAGAGAGAAATAGCTTCAAGAGTGCTCTAAATTTTAAGCCACAAGATGAGAAACAAAACAATTGAGTCTGTATCAACAGTAATTTAATAAAAACAAATAAGTTTTAAGGTTTTTTTAACTGTTAAAATCCTGGCCGGTTTCCTTAGGGACAGAGGCAGACAGTTCCATCATACGGCAGGTCCAGCTACTGCGATATCTCGCATTCCAAATTGAAGTTTCCTCGAAGGGACAGCCAGTAAATTTTGCTCGTCCGATCCCACTCAAACAAACACCTGTTGATGTTGTTTGTTTTTTTTTATTGAATTTACATGCTAGATATTCAGGCGCCAATCCATTCAACGACTTGAACACAATTAGACAAATTTTAAAAGTTATTCTTTTTTTTTTTTTTGATCGGCAACCAGTGAAGGTCTTTCAAAATCGGCCTAACATGATCAAACTTTAATCACCAGTTATTAACTTAGCAGCCCAATTCTGCACTGACCGAGGAATGACGATTCATTTGTTTGGCAATTCGTAGAACAGACTGTTGCGGTAGTCCAGTCTCTGTTGTTTTAACATTAGTTGCCGTTCGAATCTGATTCGAATATGATACAACCTTCGGAGTTGTATCATATTCGAGGCTTGCAACTTTCTGATGTGTTCATTCATTGGCAGTTTGATGTCGAGTGTACAATGTATGTATGTTTGTTTGTATGTTTGTTTGTATGTTTGTTGGTATGTTTGTTGGTATGTTTGTTTGTATGCATGTTTGTTTGTATATGTTATTTTTTTGTATCCTTCGTTGGTTCCATAATTACAACTAAAGTTGAAATTCTCAATTAACATTGCTATATTCGTTTAATAATTATGCAAACTTATAATTAGCAATAATAATAATAATAATAATTATTATTATTATTATTATTATTTTGATTGAAATGATAGTAATAACAATAATGTCGATAATTGCCAAGAATATCTCTTTGAGCAAGGACCGTGACGTCGTCGTCTTCGTCCATACACACACGCACACGCGCACACACACACACACACGCACACACACACAAACAAACAAATACAAACACACACGTACATACAAACATATCGCCTGATTCACATTCAAACATCAGAGGACCGAATGAAATGCTATGCCCCATTTGCTCGCACTACATTATTATGCGCTTCGGTTACTACTACTACTACTACTACCATTACTACTGCTGCCACTGCTACTACTGCTGCCACTGCTACTACTGCTGCTACTGCTACTACTACTACTGCTGCTACTGCTACTACTACTTTTCTACTACTACTACCATTACTACTACTTCTCTACTACTACTACTACTACTACTCTACTACTACTACTCTACTACTGCTGCTGCTACTACTACTACTACTGCTGCTGCTACTACTACTACTACTACTACTACTACTGCTGCTACCGCTGCTACTACTATTGCTGCTGCTACTACTGCTGCTACTACTACTACTACTACTACTACTACTACTACTACTACTGCTACTACTACTACTGCTTCTACTACTGCTACTACTACTGCTGCTACCGCTGCTATTACTATTGCTGCTGCTACTACTGCTGCTACTACTACTACTAATTGTGTAAATATATGAAGGATTAAACCTCAGTTTGAGTTAAAATATAGATTTTTTTTGTAAGGTTTATCGTATACATTGGATGGGCCCTCTTTAGCTTCCTTCCTTGCATTGGATGTATTTTTTTTATTTTCGTTCGAGAACGAATAAAATATTTTGTACTACTGCTACTACTATTACTATTACTACTACTACTGCTACTATTACTACTGCTACTACTACTACTACTGCTACTACTACAACTGTTAATATTACTACTACTGCTAATATTACTACTACTTAATAGTACTACTACTGTTACTACTACTACTACTACTATTTTTACAACTAATACTACTACTACTACTACTGCTACTACTACTCCTGCTGCTGATGCTACTACTACTACCATTACTGCTCGACACCTGTTGTTAAGTACGTAAAATTGAGACGATGCTCGCTCGTTCAAGGTATAATTCTATCTGCGCTTCAAAATACTATTACTACCACTACTACTACTACTACTACTACTACTACTACTACTACTACTACTACTACTGCTACTACTACTACTGCTACTACTACTACTACTACTACTACTACTACTACTGCTACTACTACTACTACTACTACTATCATTATTGGTGATAGTCTTTGGTTTTGGGCATAACGATGGCGGAACAATTTTTGA